CCTCCAACAACCCTCCACCCAGGCATACACACACGCACACACGCACTGCTACAGGTAGCAACGGCTACAATGGAGCCCAAAATTTATGTTGCAAAGTGAGACATTTGTTAAGTGAGTTTGCCTCACTTTATGACTTTTCTCTCCACCATTGTCAATTGCCACAGGTTAAGTTAGTCAAACGGTCGTTAAGTGAATCACGCTTCCCCATCGACTCTGCTAGTTGCAGAAGGGGATTGTCACGTGACCCGGGATTCTGCAACCGTCATAAATATGAATCGGTTGCCGAATGTCTGAATTTTGATCACATGACCACAAGGATGCTGCGACGGTCGTAAGTGTGAAAAACGGTCGTATGGGCCGTCACATTTTTCAGCGATGTTGTAACTTTGAACCATCACTAAATGCGACTTACAATCACTCACTTAGTGGTGGTTTGAAGTTACAAGGTCACTCAAAAAAACGTAACTGATGACCAGTTTCCACGCTTACAACCTTTACAGCCTCCCTATAGTGACGTGATCAAAATTTGGGTGCTCAGCAATTGACTTGTATTTATGATGCTTGTAGCACAGTGTATGTGGGGGGGGGGGCGATGTTTCATCATTTGTAACTTTCTCAACTGGCTTCTGACAAGCAAAGTCATAAATGACTTAGATGAGGGAATTGAAGGGGAACTTGTAAAATTTGCAGATGACACCAAACTGGCAGAAGTAACCAACACCCCAGTAAACAAACTCAGGATTCAAATGGATCTTGACCAACTTGAACAATGGGCCCTATCCAACAAAATGAGTTTCAGCGTGGAGAAAAGCAAAGTTTTACATTCAGGCAGGAGAAACCAAAGGCACAAATACAGATTGGGCAAGACCAGGCTTAAAAACAGCAACTGTGAAAGGGACCTTGGAGTCCTACTGGACGATCACTTGACCACGAACCATCAGTGTGCAGCAGCAGCCAAAAAAGCTAACACAATCCTGGGTTGCATAAAGAGAGGCATAGAATCAAGATCATACGAAGTATTAGTACTGCTTTATAAAACCCTAGTAAGGCCACACCTGGAATGCTGCAGCCAATTTTGGTCACCATACCACAAAAAAGATGTTGAGAGTTTGGGAAAAGTTCAGAGAAGAACAACTAAGGTGATCCAAGCCAAAGATGTTACCCCAAAACTACAAATAGAACTCCAATTGATCAACCTACAAGCCAAAAAACAACAGAAGAGGAACAAATTAATACTAAAGAGGATTCTACACAACTGGACACACAACACATTGAGAACTTTGACAACCAAATACTGATTTCAACTAAAGTACCTGTAACTCCAGAAGCAACAGGAACTGAACAACAAACACAATACATTGAGAACCTAGGCAACCTAGACAATCAATTAACAACTACAACACCGGACATGACTTTTTAGTCTAGTCAGATGAAACTGGAAGAAGAAGAAGACCAGACTGAACTAACAATAAACATTTTAAACCAAACATGGAGATTGGAATTATTAGGGCAAAAACCTAATAATTACAAAGGGGCCAGTTCCTTTGAAAAATTGATAACTGGCTATTCTCCCTTGATTCAAACAATATGTGTAGGAATAAAGGGAGGCCTATTTGAGGATTTAAAGTCACTGGTATGGAAACCTGCCTGGCAAAAAAAGAAAGCCAGAGTTAGGTTTAAAAATGGGACTCTTTTCTTTTGTCTTTTTTCTCTTTTCTTTCTTCTTCTCCTTCCCTTCTTGACTGATGATGAAATAGCTTAAAATTCTATTTAACAGGTTAAGGAGATTTTTAGAGATATTCATTCATTTAATATTTAGGACCTAGATTTATAATGGAAACGAAAATTGTTAAATTATAGTTTTGAATTGTAATATGGAAATGGGTTTGTGACACTGAAAGATATTTTATTAGCAAATAAGGAGCTATCAGGATGAGAAATAGAATATATTTGTGAAATAAAGTAAGAATTTAATTTTTGGAATAATATGTGTATTCTAGACACAATAATTATTTGGTAATGAAATGAAGGAAATTGGGGTTACCCAAAGTTTAATTATTACGGTTATTAATGGCTAAATTGGAACATGGTAATTGGAATCAAGTAAAATTTAAAAAACAGGATTTGGATATGTATAAGTAAAATTTTACTGATAATTCTATTGATTGATTGAGCTCTATCTAGAAATGTATTAATTTGAACATGATATAAAAATTAAGGGAAATAGAGAGGAAACTTTTAATGAGGTAACCTGAGATATATATGAATGATTCTGTTATTGGATTTTTGATTACCCTATCACCACGCTGCTTCCTAATTACTTGGACGTAAAAATTGAAAAATTAATAAAACTGGTTTAAAAAACAACAACAAATGTCTCACTTCGCAACATAAATTTTGGGCTCTGTTGTGGCCATCGCTACCTGTAGCAGTGTGTGTGTGTGTTTGTGTATGTGTGCCTGTGTGGACAGCTTTGAAGAAAATAACAACACGTACCAGATTTATTGGCAACGCAGAGTTCTCCTGTGGTAAGCTGGGCGGCCAAATAAATTTAATAAACACTATTGCTAATAAATAATATGATGAATGGTGCACCTCAATCAGTTGTTATGCCCTGCAGAGCTTCTGCAAAAAACGCCCACTTGTGTCATGTTTTTAGTGGCTTAATTAATATGCAAAAATTCCATCATTCCTTGCTTCTCTGTTTCATCGCAGATCAGGCTGCATCTCAACCTTCTAAGATTTTGCCCTCGTCTTATTGTAGATCTTTCCAACTCAGCGTTTAAACCGGTGCTCTTCAAATTTGGCAAGTTGAAGTTGTGTGGAGTTCAACTCCCAGAATTCCCCAGCCGGCAGTGAAATGCTATAGGCTCTTCTCCTTGAGCAGGGGGTTGGACTAGAAGACCTCCAAAGTCCCTTCCAACTCTGTTGTTCTGTTAAAGCTGTACAAAGGCAGTCACCCAAGTTCAGCTGTCTTGCTAAAGCTTCTTGTGGTTTATTCTGAGTGTTGGCAACTTCCTTATCTTCTCTCTGGATTTAGGGAGAGACTTAATCAAAGTCACCTTAACGCACAAGAAGGCTTAACATAATTAGGATTCACAGAGGAGAGAATGAGAGAGAGAGAGAGAGAGAGCAAAAGAAAGAAAGAAAATGAGAGAGAAAGAAATAAAATGAGAAAGAGAGAGAGAAAGAAAGAAAGAAAGAGAGAGAGAGAGAGAGAGGGAGAGAGAGAAAAAAAGAGAGAGACAGAGTGAGAAAGAAAGAAAGAAGAAAAATAAGAGAGAGAAAGAAAAAGACACAGAGGGAGGGAGAGAAAGAAAGAAAGAAAGAAAGAAAGAAAGAAAGAAAGAAAGAAAGAAAGAAAGAAAGAAAATGAGAAAGGAAGGATGGAAGGAAGGAAGGAAGAAAGAAAGAAAGAAAGAAAGAAAGAAAGAAAGAAAGAAAGAAAGAAAGAAAGAAAGAAAGAAAATGAGAAAGGAAGGAAGGAAGGAAGGAAGGAAGGAAATGAGAAAGGAAGGATGGAAGGAAGGAAGGAAGGAAGGAAGGAAGGAAGGAAGGAAGGAAGGAAGAAAATGAGAAAGGAAGGAAGGAAAAAAGAAAGAAAGAAAGAAAGAAAGAAAGAAAGAAAGAAAGAAAGAAAGAGGAAGGAAGGAAGGAAGGAAGGAAGGGAGAGAGAGAGAAAAGAGAGAGAGAGTGAGAAAGAAAGAAGAAAAATAAGAGAAAGAAAGAAAAAGACAGAGGGAGGGAGAAAGAAAGAAAGAAAGAAAGAAAGAAAGAAAGAAAGAAAGAAAGAAAGAAAGAAAGAAAGAAAGAAAGAACGAGAAAGATGATGACTATACTAAACTGTCCACAAGAAAACCACCAAGCTCAGAGAGCACCAAGGACCCTCAGTTCAGCCCTGGGCTACAAAGATTCTCTTCTACTTCATTCTTCCAGCTGAGGTTTGTTTGTTTGTTTTGTTGAGATGCTGACCCCCTATAATTTCCAAAACATAATATCAGATGAATTGTGTTATTTTCTTCACAAACCCAGGATTCTGAAACCAAGACTCAGAGCTATGCCTGAATGTAGGCTTCCTTCCCCCCTATTTCCAGAAAACCCATAATCATGGTTGAGGTGGCGGTTTTGGTGAAGCTTTTGTCTAATTTTGGAATCCCCCTCCAGAGAGGGGTGTCCCGAACTGCAGGTAAACAAGCTTTCAAGGATACCGGTTGAACCAGATCTGCATAATGGCAACTAAATCATGTGATGAACGGTTGAGGGAGCTAAGTATATCTTGTCTATTGAAGAGAAGGAGTGGAGGGAGCAGGATAGCTGTCTTCCACTACTTGAGGGTGTAGGAAGACAGCTCCTTCCAGAGAAGGAAATAGTTTGGGGGATATCAAAAAAAAGCAGAATATATTTCCCCAAAGGAATAATAGAAAATCTTAGGCAGAAACCACTACCACCTCTCTGCCCCAAGCAGGGGCCAACTCTGTAGAAATGCAGATTTGATCATCCTTTCAGAAAGACTGGAGCCAGGAAGCTTGGAGCTGATGGGATTAAAAAGACAAAGATCCCTAGAACCAACAACCCCTCACCCATCTAAAACAGGACATAGCCATCAGCCACAGCCCCGGGGAAGCAGGACATGACCTTTAAGACATAATAGGATTAACTCACCACCATCAGAATACCAAAAAGGCCACGCTCAAAAGCTCAGGTCAAAGTTCATGCCACAGGAACAACTCCAAACACAAAAGCCCAAGAAGGTATAAAAACCCACCACTCCCAGCACCATGTGGTCAGCTGCTCCAGAGCCACATGTCTTGTGGTTCTGCTCTTCAATAAACTACAACCTTTTTTCTAAAGCAAATTCCATTTTCTTTATTCCCGGCTTGGACTGGACCCTGGTGAAGATTTTTTTTTCAACAAGGAGCTGTCTCAGAGAAGAGGGGATTGACTTATTCTCCAAAGCAGCTGGGCAGGACAAGAAGAAACGGGTGGAAGAGATACAATCTAGAAGTAAGGCAAAATGTCCTGATTGTAAGAACAATCAATCAATAGAATAGCTTGCCTCCTGGATTTGTGGGTGCTCCATCACTGGAAGTTTTCAAAAATAAACTGGACAACCACTTGACCAGAATGTTACAAGATCTCCTACCCTGAGCAGTGGGTTGGATTAGAAGACCTCTGAGGTCTTCCAGTCCTGTGATTCTATGTTGAGATATGCAGAACAGAAGAAACAGTTCTTTGTAGCAATGCCACCCATTAATTACCAATTGTAATTAGAAATTACAATGCCCCGTTGGCTTAAGCCAATCGGGACTATCTCTTGCTTCATCAAAGAAGTGTTGAAGCTGCAGGTGGAGTTCTGCATGAGATCCACCGAGGAATCAAAAAGCTCTCGGAAGAAGCATGGACCGGTCACTTCAGGCAGAGCAAGGACAAGACCAAGCAGGAGAAGAAGCAGAAGCAGAGAGAAGCATCGGTGTGGAACTTCTCTCCTCCAGCTTGCAGATCCAACTCAGGATCTGAACTACATCTCCCCACTCCAGGCAGACCATTGATTTTTTTTGCAACATGTCGGTGTTGATGCTCATCCTATTCTCAGCTTTCTCTTTTGCGGTCGCCTTCACCTTCCTGGATGCTTGGTATCTAATCTACTTTATCATCATATACCTTCGTTACAGATTGGCAGACCCCAAAATCAAAGTGCTGGAAGAAGGACTAAGGTACAGCTGGGTTTTGCCTTCCGATCTGGACATGTTGGGCCACATGAATAACAGCCGCTATGCCCGGGAGGCTGATTTTGCCCGATATCTGTACATGTTCCAATGTAGGCTGTTGCAGACCATCTGGAACTGTAAGTACACCACAGTGCTGGTGGCCTCCTCTTGGCGTTTCCGGCGGTCTTTGAAACTGGGGGAACACTTTGCCATCCGGACACGCATGTTAGGCTGGGACGACCATTCTTTTTACCTGGAGCAACAGTTTATCAGTTGCCAAGATGGGTTCGTTTGTGCCGTTTTGCTGGCTCGCCATCACGTGACCGGCATATCTCCAAGCAAAGTCCTCCAGATTCTTTACGGGAGGCAGGTAAGGCTTCCAAACTTATTGAAAAGGGGGTGTGTGAAGGGTGAACCTCTAGGCGCCTGTCCATCATATGGGCCATCAACTTGGACAGAATTCAGACAGGGTCAGCAGCTAGGAGTTTCTTTCACTTCCTAAAATGGTGAATACGTTCCCGAGCGGAAATGTACAGAAAAATCTGTACAGATTCCGCGAAACCACGTTTTGAAGCTGCTTCTAAGCAGCTTTGAGGAGAGAAGCAACCTAATGAGGAGACATTTAGCCTCCAGTCCCTTGATCATCTTTGTTGCTCTTCTCTGTCCTTTTTCCAGAGTCTCTACTTGGCTTCTACGTGGCTTCTGTTCTTCCAAACAAGACCCATGGAGTCTTCTTTTCCTTTGTTGCAAATTCCAACTCTAAAACGGGGCCAAGAAAGAAGCATAAAGTAGCCGATAATTCTATGGAAAACATGGACGTTTCCCCAGATAGTGAGGAGACATTTCCTGACAGTCAGAACAATGGATCAGTGGAACGGCTTGCCTCCAGAAGTCATGGAGATTTTTAAGAAGTAATTGGACCGCCCTTTGTTTGAAATGGCATAGCGTCTCCTGCTTGAGCACAGGGTTGGATTAGAAGACCCTCAAAGGTCCCATTCAAATTTGTTATCCCGTTATTTTGCTTCCTCCAACTTGGATAGGCATCTCTTGGGCCCCTGAAAACTCTTTTCCTAAGGTTACGTCCATTCCTGACTTGGAGAAAGAGGAGGAGGGAACGGGACTGATCAAAACTGCTTGGGATCTAACCCTGGTTGAGATAGTGAGCTGCCAAGAAGCAGTTTTCAAACCCAACTTGATGTAGGCTGTGCTGACATGGGAAGAAGGCAGAGACAAATGCAGGATTTTTTTCCTAGAAAATAGGCCATAGGGTCAAGCATTAGGAAAGAAGTGGCTTATTTGTAATCATGTATGTATTTACATGCTACTTGCTCAAGAGAATTTTTGGCAGCTAAGAATAATACATCAGATCAGATCCAAAATGTGGAAAACTGATTTCCCAATAGAAGGGAGTTTTCACCTGCTTCCTAAAAGATAAAGGGGAGAGGGAAAAGAGAAGGAGGGAGAGAGAGGGGAGAGAGGCAGGAGAGGGGGCAGAGAGGAGGGAGAGAGGGAGGAGAGAGAGAGGATACAGAGAGGGGAGAGGAGAGGGGGAGAGGAGGGAGAGAGAGGACAGAAAGACAGGAGAAAGATAGCAGTGAGGAGAGAGGGGAGAGAGGCAGGAGAGGGGGCAGAGAGGAGGGAGAGAGGGAGGAGAGAGAGAGGATACAGAGAGGGGAGAGGAGAGGGGGAGAGGAGGGAGAGAGAGGACAGAAAGACAGGAGAAAGATAGCAGTGAGGAGAGAGGGGAGAGAGGCAGGAGAGGGGGCAGAGAGGAGGGAGAGAGGGAGGAGAGAGAGAGGATACAGAGAGGGGAGAGGAGAGGGGGAGAGGAGGGAGAGAGAGGACAGAAAGACAGGAGAAAGATAGCAGTGAGGAGAGAGGGGAGAGAGGCAGGAGAGAGGGCAGAGAGGAGGGAGAGAGGGAGGAGAGAGAGAGGATACAGAGAGGGGAGAGGAGAGGGGGAGAGGAGGGAGAGAGAGGACAGAAAGACAGGAGAAAGATAGCAGTGAGGAGAGAGGGGAGAGAGGCAGGAGAGGGGGCAGAGAGGGGGAGAGGAGAGGGGGAGAGGAGGGAGAGAGAGGACAGAAAGACAGGAGAAAGATAGCAGTGAGGAGAGAGGGGAGAGAGGCAGGAGAGGGGGCAGAGAGGGGGAGAGGAGAGGGGGAGAGGAGGGAGAGAGAGGACAGAAAGACAGGAGAAAGATAGCAGTGAGGAGAGAGGGGAGAGAGGCAGGAGAGGGGGCAGAGAGGAGGGAGAGAGGGAGGAGAGAGAGAGGATACAGAGAGGGGAGAGGAGAGGGGGAGAGGAGGAGAGAGAGAGGACAGAAAGAGAGGAGAAGAGATAGCAGTGAGGAGAGAGAGAGGAGAGATACAGGGAGAGAGGAGGGAGAGAGAGAGGAGGGAGAGGAGGAGAGAGAGAGAGAGAGAGAAAGAGAGGAGACAAGGGAAGAGAGAAGAGAGAGGCAGGAGAAAGGGGAGAGGAGAGAGAGAGGAAGGAGAGAGAGAACACAGAGAGAGAGGAGAAAGGAGAGTGAGGAAAGATATAGGGAAGAGGAGGGAGACAGAAAGAGGAGAGAGAAAGAGGAGACAGAGAGGAGAGGGGGAGCGACGAGAGAGAAGAGAGACAGAGGCAGAGCAATAGAGAGACAGCTAAGCTGTACTACAGTGAGAAGGGCTGCTGCTGTGAAATTCATTTTCCAAGCCCTCTTCTCCCTGATCTTTGTACCGTTATGTGTAAGAGGAATCGTGGACCTCTAGTTAATCACAAGAGCCAGTCACGCCACAGAGCTGCACATAAGGCGAACATGATTTTAGGCTGCCTCGGCTGACATTCGCTTTCATTAAAAAAAAGGACATTTACCATTGCTTGATTCTTCTCATTGGCCAGAATTTCTTTCTGGAATCTGAAAGCAGATTCCAGTCGAACATTAGGAAAGCATTTTCTAATATTATAGCTGGTACAACCTGTGGTTCCTTGTAGAAAATGTGATTTATTTATTTATTTTTGCATCTAGACATTTTTTTATGCCTTCTCTAAAAAGGCCACTTGTTCGTTGGTGGTTACTAAACAATCCATGACTGATTGGGCCATCAGTGCAGAAATATTTCCTTACCGCAATCTTAATGCCTTCAACACAGACAGAACTTCTAATATACTATTTCTAATATACTAATATACTGGGGGGGGGGGAAACGGGATATATTCAGAGATGTATCTGCCTTGAAAATAGCCCAGATTTGGGATGGGTTCTGCAAATTAGAGTTGAGGTCCCTTGGTTTAAAAATCTCTGCTTTCACCCAATTAAAGGTTACAAGAGCAAGAGATTTAATAGTATATAGATTAGCTAGCCCACAAAGTAAAGTATGAATTCTCCTGAGAATGTTTTTGTCTCATTAAATGAAGAACATGAAGACACTTGGTTGCAGTGTAAATGATCTGTTTCCCTGAATCATGCCTGGGAAAAAACACTCCGCCTTCGGATATATTTCTCAAACCTCATTACGCAAAATATTCTAAATTCCCTGTGTATAAAATTTTTTATCATTTAAACTTTGCATGGTGTGTTTTCTTCACTCATTCTTCACCTCAGGTGCTTTGGAGAATAGCTTGACTCCCTCTTCTTTGGGGCAGCCCCTGAGATATTGGAACACTGCTATCATGTCCCCCCTCGTCCTTCTCTTCGTTAAACTAGACATATCCAATTCCAGTCGCCGTTCCTTACATGCTTTAGCCTCCAGTCTCCTGATCATCTTTGTTGCTCTTCTTTGTACTTTTTCTAGAGTCTCTACTTGGCTTCTACATGGCTTCTGTTCTTCCAAACAAGACCCATGGAGTCTTCTTTTCCTTTGTTGCAAATTCCAGCTCTAAAATGGGGCCAAGAAAGAAGCATAAAGTAGCCGATAATTCTATGGAAAACATGGATGTTTCCCCAAATAGTGAGAAGCACCCGGGTTCCAATTTTGCATGCCTCTGCTTAGGTCCTCCTGGCCTCCATTCTCCCTCTCTGCTTAATTTGTGTGATTTGATTGTGTGTTTTAATTGCAGGTAGACTCTCCTGAAATCCCCGAAGATGTCCACTACTGGCTGAAAAGTAACCAAATCAACAGCGAAAGAGTAAAGAAGGAACTCCAGCAAATTAACAAAAACAAGTAGAAGGTTTCTTCAGATCTGCTGATGGGCCATCTTCAGAAATGGTTGGGCAACCTGTTCTTCTGTATAAAGCCAAAGAGATGTTATTCATAACCGTATCTAGTGTTTGTCATGAGTATCCAAGGGATTGGGGAGGGGGCAGGAGGGTCAAGTACACCCACCATGATCACACTATGCAAAGACGGACACAAACTACATAATTTACATCGTTTGAGAAAGGACACTGATGGACTTCCTCATCGTGGTTTCTACCAGATGCCGCCATATTCTGTGGACTGAAAGAACAGCAGGATCAGCCCTAACGAATGGAAGGCTATAGCTCTGAAGAAAAACAAAAGGAACTTTTGATCTGATACCTATAGAAGGTTTAATTAGATTTGAAACTTGCAAAGACACCTCACTGGATCAGTTGGTGCCAACATCATTCCTAGGATGAAGCCCGGGACTGTGTCCTCATCTTACCGCGTTTCCAAACGCTAATTTCATAGAAGGGCAAGTTGCATAAATTGTGGTTAGAACTTTCATCAGAGTTTTTGCAACGCCGTTCTGCAATCAGAGCCGTTGTGCAACGTTGCCTGCAGAGGCAGCCAATACGCACATTTTAAAAGTGGTCACCTTAACCTGCCCAAGTTAGGAGCAGTTGAGTTTGAGGCCTGCTTGGGAGATCGTGGGGTTAATTGTGCAGGATCCAATCTGGGTCGGTTGCTGGGACCAGATGGTTTAGTCTCCTGAGCTTAGAGACGCACGCTGGAGCCCATCCTCAAGGAACTTCCTTCTAGCAGAGTGTGTGCTGCTCTCTGTGTGGTATTTATATGGTGTATGTGGATTTTTAGACGTTGATTGATGTGTGTTTATGGCTGGCTTTTAAGTGGTTGGCTGTCATTCGCTTGTGCTGCCCAGCCCCCATCTTCTAAGTATTTGATAAGCTGGTGGTAAATCAGTACTCCTATTGCCCTTCAAGGGGCCCATTTCCCAGGCTTCAATCACTTCCCCTGGCTGCTTTTGTGCCTGCTCGACCAACAATCTTAGTAGCTTATTGCCCCATCAATATGTTCCTCCTTTGAAGCCCAGTTGAAATAATTTCCCTGTCTGTTTTTGTACCTGCTTGGCCAACAATCTTAGTAGCTTATTGCCCCATCAATATGTTCCTCCTTTGAAAGCCCAGTTGAATTAATTTCCCTGGCTGTTTTTCTGCCTGCTCGGCCAACAAACTTAGTAGCTGCAAAATTGAATGTGTGTCCATGCTCATTGTCTCCTTGTCTGACTCTTCGAGGAGACATAAACTCATTAGTAGCCTCACACAGCAATGAACAAGGAAACGTTCAATTTTGCAGCTACTGAGATTGTTGGCCAAGCAGGCACAAAAAAAGCTAGGGAAATTACTTCAACTGGGCTTTCAAAGGAGGAACATATTGATGGGGCAATAAGCTACTAAGATTGTTGGCCGAGCAGGCACAAAAAACAGCTGAGGAAGTGATTGAAGCCTGGGAAATGGGCCCCTTGAAGGGCAATAGGAGTACTGATTTACCACCAGCTTATCCAGCACTTAGAAGGCGAGGGCCAGGCAACACAAGCAAATGACAGTCAACCGCTTAATAGCCAGTCATCAATACACCCAATGAACATCTAAAAATCCACATACAACAGGCACCATATAAATATCACACACAGAACAACACACACACTCTGTTAGAGAGAAGTTCCCTGGAGATGGGCTCCAGCAGAATCTGAAAGCTCAGAAGACAAAACCAACCCAGATTGGATCTTGCAACATTATCCTGGGACGTGTATATTTGCTTTTATTCGTGGGGTTCAATGTGTTGCTTTGCAACCATCAAGGTCTATACTGTGTTGACAAATCAAAACATAATAAAGATTCTCTGGAAATTTTCATGTGTGTGTCTTTGAAACTCAGGATACCAAGTATGTCTTCAAAAATTCAGTCTTGCCCAAGCCTATACAAGTAGTTCTCATCTGACAACCACAACTGGGGGCCAGAATTTCCATTGCTAAGTACAACGGATATTAAGTGGGTCATATCCAATTTTGTAACCCCTTTTTTTCCAAAGAAATCATTGCGGTTGTTAAGGGGATGAAGCATTAGCTCCTGTTGACTTTGCTTGTGCTTATAACCACAATTGACTGCCCCACATTTCCGCTGATAAGCCAGACAGTTTTTAAGCCAGTTGTACCCCATTTTACAACCTTTCTTGGTGCAGTTGTTAAAGCGATCCCTGCCGTTCTTAAGTGAATGAAGCAGTCATTAAGCGAATCCAGCTTCCCCCATTGACTTCATTTGTAGATTTCCTGAATTTTGATCACGTGACCATAGGGATTCAGCAATGGTTGTTAGTGGGAGGTCAGGTCATAACTTGGCTATAAATTTAGGGAGTCAAGCTATTCTACAAAGAAAAAACAATGGTTGGAAACTAATCAAGGAGAGAAGCAACCTGGAATTAAGGAGAAACTTCCTGACAGTGAGGACAATCAACCAGTGGAACAGCTTGCCACCAGAAATTGCGGGTGCTCCATCACTGGAGATTTTTAAGAAGAGACTGGACAGTCACCTGTCTGAGATGGTATAGGTTCTCCAGGTTGGGTAGGGGGCTGGACTAGAAGACCTCCAGGATCCCTTCCAGATTCTATTCAATTCTATTCAATTCTATTCTATTCTATTCTATTCTATTCTACTCTACTCTACTCTACTCTACTCTACTCTACTCTACTCTACTCTATTCCTATTCTATTCCTATTCTATTCTATTCTATTCTATTCTATTTCACTCCACTCCACTCCACTCCACTCCACTCCACTCCACTCCATTCCATTCCATTCCATTCCATTCCAGTCCATTCCATTCCATTCTATTCTATTCTATTCTATTCTATTCTATTCTATTCTATTCTATTCTATTCTACTCTATTCTACTCTATTCCAGGTTGTCTTGCTTGAGCAGGGGGTTGGACAAGAAGACCTCCAAGGTCCCTTCCAACTCTAGCTATTCTGATATCCCAGAATTCCCCAGCTGGCTGGAAAATTCTGGCCGTGAGTTGAAGTCCACAGCTGTTCAAGTCGGCAAGGTTGAGCAATATTAACCTAAAGCATGTGATGAGCTGGTTAAAATCCAGAGTATGTCTCTGTATTTCCACTGAGAATGAAGGATAGCGCCTGTAGGTCAGGTCCCCTGAAACAGCCATAAATCCCGTAGAGAAGCTTTTAAAGCCCATGGGGCTTATGTTGAGCACGCTTCAAAATTTAATTCATGGAAAGCAGCTTTTCAGATATGGCTGAACTGTGATTCTGGCTAGCTCTCACAAGCATAGTTTGCAGTGATCTGAGACCAGGGATACATACCTTGGTGTGCACTCTTATGGTTTCTGAGTCACCCATTGGAATTTACCAGTTAGTAAAGTTCATGGTTTTTAATTTGGTTTTTTTCAATTCCTTTTCTTCCCAGATACAAATGTTATTTGTCTGGTTTTATCTATTTCTTAAGAAATGTAAAAGCGTGAGATGGCTCTAGTTTAACAAAGAGAAGGACGAGGCGGGACAGGATAGCCATGTTCCAGTATCTCAGGGACTGCCGCAAAGAAGAGGCAGTCAAGCTATTCTCCAAAGCCCCTGAAGGCAGGACAAGAAGCAACGGAGGGAAACTCATCAAGGAGAGAAGCAACCTAGAACTAAGGAGAAGCTTCCTGACAGAACAATTAATCAGTGGAACAACCTGCCTCCAGAAGCGGTGAATGCTCCAACACTGGAAGTTTTTAAGAAGAGACTGGACAGCCATTTGTCTGAAATGGTGTAGGGTTTCCTGCCTGAGCAGGGGGTTGGACTAGATGACCTCCAAGGTCCCTTCCAACTTTATTATTATTATTATTATTATGGTGGATCATCGCACAGTCAGCCAGATGTTCAGACTGGATTTGGCATTTTGTCTACCTATCGAGTCCTTACCCAGGACCTGGGATAGGCAGATGTGGATGTTTGATGGTATTACAGGTATCGTCGCAGGATGGAAGCAGTTCCTACTAAGGCCGCCTTTTGCAATTGATTAATAGCGAATTTGTCAATACCAATGGTGTTCAAGTGGTGCTCCAGTTGCTTTGGGATTGCACCCAAGGAGCCTATTACTATTGGTACTACCCTTGCTTGCTTTTGCCACAGTCTTTCTATTTCTATTTGTAGGTCTTTGTATTTTGTTATCTTCCCCAGTTCTTTCTCGTCTATTCTGCTGTCCTCCAGGCACTGCCACGTCCACTATCCAGACTTTTTTGTCTTTCTTATCGACAATTGTTAAGTCTGGGGTGTTATGTTGCAGGTGCTTGTCTGTTTGAATTCTGAAGTCCCAGAGCAGTTTAATTTTATCATTTTCTATGACTTTCTCTATTTTATGATCCCACCAGTTTTTGCTTACAGGCAAATGATATTTTTTGCAGATCTTCCAATGCACCATTGTTGCTACTTTGTCATGCCGCTGCTTGTAATCAGTCTGTGCAATCTTCTTGCAACAGCTTACCAAGTGGTCCACTGTTTCTTCAGCTTCTTTGCATAGGCGGCACTTACTGTCTGTTGCTGTCTTCTCAATTTTGACTTTGTATGCATTTGTCCTTAAGGCTTGGTCTTGTGCAGCCAGAATTAGTCCCTCGGTCTCTTTCTTCAATTTTCCTGCTCTTAGCCATTGCCAGGTTTTATTATTATCTGCTTTCCCAGCTATTTTTTTCATGTATTGGCCATGTAGTGCTTTGTCTTCCCATGCCTCTATTCTGTTCTTCATTTGGTCTTTCTTGTAGGCCAGTTTGGTCTCTCCAGTAGTTAGTAAGCCTTCCTGATATACTAATTTCAGTGCATCTTCATCATTGTTCTTCAGATATTCTTCCAAAGCCATTTTTTCTTCTTCAACCATCTGATGTACTTGTAGCATTCCACGCCCACCTATTTGCCTTGGTAGATAAAGTCTATCAATGTCACTGCGTGGATGAAGGGCGTGATTCATTGTCATTATTTTTCTGGTCTGCCTATCCATTGCTTTTAGTTCTGCTTGAGTCCAGTCCACTATTCCAGCTGTGTACCTAATGACTGGGATTGCCCAGGTGTTGATTGCCTTTATGGTATTTCCTCCATTGAGTTTGGACTTTAAGATCTTCTTCACTCTCTTGATGTATTCACCTCTAATCTTTTTCTTGACTTCAGTGTGCTTGATGTTGTCAGCTTGAAGGATACCCAAGTATTTGTAGTACTCTTCCTCATCCAGACTCTTAATGTTATTTTCGTGGGGCATCTTGATTCCTTCAGTTTTCACTATTTTTCCTTGTTTGATAGTAAGTGTGGCACATTTGTCCAAGCCAAACTCCATTACAATATCTTGGCTATATATACGGACAGTGTTGAGCAGCGATTCTATTTCAGATGATGTTTTTCCATACAGCTTCAGATCATCCATGTAAAGGAGGTGGGATAGTCTAGCAGATGTTTTTGATGTTTGATAACCATGTCCTGAGTTATTCAGTATTGTTGACAGAGGAAACAGTGCAATAACAAATAGTAATGGTGATAATGAATCTCCTTGAAATATTCCTCTCTTGATATTAACCTCTCCCAGCTTCTCACCATTGATCTGCAACTGTGTCTTCCATTGTGCCATCGATCTTTGCACAAATTTTCTGATGTTTCTACTGACTCCTGTTATTTCTAGGCACTTGATTATCCAATCATGTGGCAGAGAGTCAAATGCCTTTTTGTAGTCAATCCATGCCACATTCAGGTTGGTCTTCCTTCTCTTGCAGTTTTCCAAGATCATTTTGTCTATTAGGAGTTGATCTTTTGTTCCTCTGCTATTGGGGCGGTTTCCTTTCTGCTCAGGTGGAAAGAGATTGTTTTCAACTAGATGCTGTTGTACTGCATCAGCTACCACACCAGTTAGTAATTTGAAAGTTGTTGGTAAGCAGGTAATTGGCCTGTAGTTACCTGGTGTTGCCCCTTTTGCTGGATTTTTCATTATTAGGTAGGTTTTCCCAGTTGTTAGCCACTTTTCAATTTCTCCTCCTTGTAGTATATTGTTGAACTGCTTGGCAATGAGTGGGTGTATAACAGTTAGATGTTTCAACCAAAACCCATGCAGTTCATCTTCACCTGGTGCTGACCAATTTTTGATTTTCCTTGCTCTTTTTTCTACCATTTTTGTTGTTATTACTAGTTCTTTCATTTCAACTTCTGTTTTATTTGCATCCACCTCTTTTAACCAAGCCGCATCCTTGTTGTATTTCTTTGGGTTATCCCATATCTGCTTCCAGAACTGCACTGTTTCTTCCTTGTCAGGTACTGACTGATTCCTTGCAGTTTCTCCATTGATGGATTGGTAGAAACGTTTCTGATTGGATTGAAATTGGAGGTTCTGCCTATAGTTTGCAATTCGAGCTTCATATCTACTGATTTTCCTGGCTATAGCTGTTATTTGTTGCTTTATTATTTCCAATGCTTCCTTGATCTTCCTTGTTTCTAAGTGGTATTTCTTGATTAGGTATTCTTTGGTCTTCTTGTTCTTCAGCTTCTTTTCTTTCATCTGTTCTAGCTTGCTTGCATGTGATCTTAACTTGCTGATCTTATTTTCTAGTCTAACCTTCCATTTTTCTGGTGTACTGTTTGTTTGTTTTTCTTTTTTGTTGATTTTACATCCCAGGTATTCTGTTATAACTGCAGCTGTGCTGTACATTAGTTGGTATTATTATTATTATTATTATTATTATGGATCATCGCACAGTCAGCCAGATGTTCAGACTGGATTTGGCATTTTGTCTACCTCTCGAGTCCTTACCCAGGACCTGGGATAGGCAGATGTGGATGTTTGATGGTATTACAGATCTTGTCGCAGGATGGAAACAGTTCCTAGTAAGGCCGCCTTTTGCAATTGACTAATGACTATTATTGTTGTTGTTGTTGTTGTTGTTGTTATTATTATAAAACTGGGATTAAATGGTCATAGGGATGAAAGCCAGGGCCACTACCATCAACACATATTCTTAACAAGCATCCAGGAAAGTAACCATGAATAACCCACAAACAGCATATGCTTATTTAATGAGGTGATCAAACTAACTACTAAAATTATTGCGTTTATGTGGAACTCTCTGTCTGCAATTGTGATTCTTTCTTGTTTTCCCCTATCTTTCCCTTTTCTGAATAAATTCTTTTCTATCCTTGTTAATGTATCTGCCTTCATTGATCTCAGAATGGAATT